ATTTCACAGCCCTAATAAAAAACAAAGCAAATAAATAAATAAACATGTAACATTGATGGAAACAAAAAAGTGCGATCACACAGCCTCGTTTTGTCAGATATGAACTTTATCAAACATGAAAGTTTAAGGGAGTAATAATATGTGTGCTTGTTGGGGGGGAGGGGCAAAGGTGTGCTGACAGGAAGCCTTTCACCCTCCTAAAGAGCCATCCCTTTCTTCCACTGCCTGCTGCCACATTGATTGGTCCCTAATGAGCCATAATGACAGGTAATCAGAGCTGTAACAACGGTGACAGAGAGATACAGAGAAAAAACACAGAGAGGAAGAAAAAGACAAAAGCAAGGGGTTGGAAAAGGTCAAGAAAATGAAATGATAAAGGAGAAGACAGATAGAGAAAACAACATGAGTGGAAATGTGGAGGGAAGGCAAAAATAAAGGCAGTAAAAGAAAAGTAAAGAAAAGAAAAGAAAAGTGTGCAGGGGAAGAAGAGATGAGAAAGGAGGTAGAAGAGGAGGAGAGACGGGAGGTGAGTGACCTTCTCTTACCACAATACATCAACAGGTTATCAAATACTTGGAAGCAAACAAGTGCAGGTTTCTGTGAAAACTTGGCGTGCTCAAACACACGCTCGGTGGCACAAACGTTCCGCATGCTGCCGAGGAAAATTAAACGTCTTTAAATGTAAACTCCAGACTTCCATCCTTGAGGACGAGAGGAAGTGAAGAAAGGTGGAGAGGAACAGGTTCGGACAGAGCCGGAGACGATCTGGATACAGTCGCCACTAATGCCCAAAGAAAATAGGGGAAGCTTGTCGAAAACAGTCTGTAAACATATGTTCTGTTTTAACAATGATGTCAGATTAACAGGTAATCATTACAATAACTAATGTAAATTAAAAAAATTAAGATTGCTTATTTATGCTAGAGCTAAATGTTATTGAGAGCCACAAAACATCATTATAAAAGTGTTTACATTAGTCAATTTAACTATTAAAACATTTGGTATGAACTTCCAATGGCTTTGAGCATCTTTTAACTTTATTTAAAATAAAGTTTTTATCATTAACTTTTTTTTGGTCCTACTGAATGCTTTTACTTACTAAAGACAAATAAGTTAATAGATATAATGAGCAGATATAAATAATTCATTGGGAGGCCTAAAAATGAATGTTAGGTCCTTTCATGTCTGAACACTATGTTGTAAACAGACGGTATCACTGTTCACTTGCTTAAAATGTCAGCTATAAAAAGTGAAAGAAAGTCAACTTTTACAAAAATTCAATTATCTGACTTTATGATGAATGATGAAATAAAACTTTGCTTCTCAATTTGTTTTTTTTAATGACAGTCACTAGTTTGTCTCGAACTCCAAGGAAATAGTTGAAATTTAGAAAAGATGATCTAACAGGAGTGAAAAATATATTCTTGTATGGCCTTAGTTGCTCACCAACTATTAAGTTATTTCTAATCCGTGAACAATTCTTATTTACAAAACTGCTGACTGCATCAGAATATTGAGCCTGTAACTGCAATATTGCTGAAAAGTCATGAATCGCACACTGCCTCAAGTGGCTCCCGAAGAAATGAAAAAAAAAAAAAAAAAACAGTCCTGACATCCTGATCCAGACTGGGAAAGTCATCTGAGAGGCTGGAGTTATGGTTCTGTGTGAGAACAATGTCATCCAGACTGCTTCCAAGAGGAAACAGCATAAACACAAATTCTTGCCTCGGCCAATTCAGCGGGATTCCTCGTCTGAAAAAAAAAATATTAGAAAAACTGGATTTCATATTTTAGAGCCACTTTGTGCAGCTTTAGGGTGTTGCAAGATGTAAATACAACCAAATGCTGTGGTTGTGTAAATAATGTCAATCAGCTGATGTAAAAAAAGTGTTTAAATAAAAAGGGATGGGATAAATAGAGCCATGAGCACAATTAAATACTATGATAAATATGGTTTAGTATGTATCGTTGTGCAAGAATTCTTGATCTGCAGCATATCTGGCACAAAAATGATGGGACATGTGCTTGCATAAACAAAGGAGAATTTAAAAACCACATGAGGACATCTGAAAAATAAAATAATGTCAGACAAAAATGATAATTGCTCTCCACACAGTTTGTGCATGTGCAAGCCTGGGAAAGACGGTTGTTATTGAGAATAAACAATGACCACATTATGGTTGATCCGCCGTCTAAGGCACTTCAGCGGATTTTCTGATGGAAATCAGCTGCGCATTGTTAAAATGCAGAGGGCTGTGGCTGTAGTTGTCACTTCAGGAACCAGTGAGACATGAAATACAAGACAGGAAGTCACATTGGTGTAAGAGATTAAAGGCTTTAAAAGCTTTACAAATGCCAAAACACTGCAAAGTGCATTGGAAACCGTGGTCTCCGGAGTTCATGCACAGGATTTTTTTTTTTTTTACAGCTTTGGAAAATCATCACAGAGGCAAACGTTTGTCTACAGTCACAGAGATTGGAAAGTAAACAGTGGAAATATGTTCATAATAAAACACAAACCACAAGTAATGTTTACAGCCGGTGTCATGGCCAACACAGCCTTTGGTGCCAAATCGTCCTATATGAACATTTGTGGGGAACTGAACTCAAGGATAAAAAAAAAACCGGCCAAGTTGTCTGGTTGGGAAAACAAATCTTGTTAAAACAGAATGACTCACAGCCAGATTTTCTGAGAATAATTTGAACTGGTACAATAAATAAATAAATGGCCTACAAAGGATAGATTAATTGAAATATTGATGGTTTCTCATTCAAAACTGAAACTGGATCTGCTAAAAACCTTACAGAAAAACCAAAATAAATATTTTCAAACTACAAAGACCAAAGACAACGAAGCTGGAGAAAACAGGAAGCATATTTCAGGTGATGGAGCGTGAGGCTGAAAAATGATCAGAAACAAGGAGGGAAGAACTGGAGGAGGATAGAAGAAAAAACGAAAAGAGGCCTGCATAAAAAAAAGAAAAAGAAGGATGAGTTTTTCTGCTCAACTGCAACTAAATGAAACATTCCGTTCGCTGCCAGACACATTTCCTCCCTTTACTCATCTTCCCTTCCTCTGGTCTGACATTTAGATTCTAAATATTTTTCTATTTCTTTTGGGATGAGAGCAAACTCTCAAGAGCAAAGAAACTATTCTCAGATTTCTCTTGTGTGTTTACAAAGTTAGTCTAGCTGTAAAATTTTATAGTTATAATCAGCCAAAAATGACCGATGACTTAAAGGGATCCGTGATAAGTTGTACCATTTGACTTTATTTAATAAACATATATTTTAACTGTAAAATAAAGACTGTAAAAATACTGTAGGATGTTCAGTTTTTATCATTTTTAAACTAAAGTTTTTAAAATATACATTTCTAGAAGGTAGAAATGACTCAGCCTGTAACTGAAAATATGGATGGAGGACAACAGAGCTGCTTCATGGAAGAAGAACCTCAGTTTAGCCTGTTAGCTTTAGCATTAGCCCAGAAGCTATCACCATATAGATGTATTAGCTCAGCGCTACACATTCTCTTCCCGGTCCTCCATCCACATGACAGAGAGGGGAATGCAAAAATATGGATGGAAGACCTCAGTTTAGCTTGTTTGTCGCCCTAGCGCAGAGCTAATACATATAAGGCAATATAGCATCAGCACTAGCGCAGAGGCTAACAGGCTAAGCTGAGGTTCTTCTTCCATGAAGCAGCTCTGTTGTCCTCCATCCATATTTTCAGTTACAGGCTGAGTCATTTCTACCTTCTCCTCTCTGTCAACGCTCTCTGGTTTAATTTAACATTGCTAATCATCAGATATTGTCCAAGATTAACCTTCAGGGTGGATATAGCTCGCTCACACCGAGGACCTATCCACGTCATCATTTACCCAGAATGCTTTGCGTGTAAATAAAATGGCTCCATCCGTGTTAAAATATATTTAAAAAAATTTACAAAACTAAACATCCTACAGTATTTTTACAGTCTTTATTTCACAGTTAAAATAAATGTTTATCAAATAAAGTCTAATGTTACAACTAATCAGGGACCCCTTTAAAAACAGAAAAAAACGACATCACCACATACATATCTCTGTGGTCACAACGTAGCATCAGAGAGTGGGTTATGTTTTCTGAAAATAGCCCCTCAGTCCACCTGTTTCTCTTGATGTCATGAACATGACCCTAATTACTGCTAATTCACTTAATGCCATTAATCCCATTTAAAATAACAAACACACTTTCTCAGTCCCTTCAGGCTTATGAATTGACCTTCTTGTCTTTTTTCGGTCCAGAGTTATTGTGCGTATGTGTGTGTGTGAGTGTGTGTGTGTGTGTGTGTGTATGTTTTATGTATAGTTGTGTTATTGTGACTGTGTGCAATGTTGGACTGTGAAGAAGGTCTGAAAATAGACTTACTGGTAATGAAAAGTTCAGAGAATTGATCAGAGGCATGGAAAAACTAACACACTCACACAGGCTTGTACAGCAATCCTAATTAGGACGCTGCAATAACTTCTTTTTTTTTCCCACTGAGTATACAACCTAAACTCTAGCTAATTTTTAAAATAAACAGAATCTAAAACTTAATTCTAAGCCAAACCAACACCTCTGGGGTGACAATCCACACCATTAGGACTAGACTTTGATCCAAAAAGCGTTCCTACAGAAATTCTAAAAGGTTTTAAACATTGGGACTCATAGTGATCTGACTTTATAAATCAGTTTGTGTGTGCTGATTCTCTTTTCATCCGGATTTGATGCTAAACTTAGAAACCACAGAACAAACTCTTGGTCTAGAGCTGACAGGTGAGTGTTGAGTAGAGGCGAGCGTGTGATTGAGTGAGTGTGCAGACCTCAAGGGACCGAAGTTGCTTAATATATATTTTTAAAATTCACAGTGTGTGTTTAAGCTGGGCATGTGCTTACCGAGCAAGGCTGCAGGATGGATGGACGGTAGTTGAGATGCTAATAAGCGTCTACGTGTGTGTGTGTGTGCACGTGTGTACCAGCTGTGGTGTGTCCTGCAGCAGAGGCAGCAGTGTGGCTTCCAGGATGGCAGTCTGATTGGGCGGCAGGCCCTGCCACAGCGACAGCAGCAGCACGAGCAGATGAGTGGCGCTCCGCAAGCGGACAAATGCCTGCTCCAGCAGCGCCCGGTTCTCCTCGGCAGCCTCCGCCAGCGCCATCACCTGAAACAGACAAGACCGTTTTACTAACTGTTCCACGAACTGAGACTATGTTCAGTGGTTCAAGCGGTTTTACAAGAGGTTTCGTAGCACATCATGGTTTTCTGTGGGGTACAGAATAACATTAAAGTCCTACTCCAAATGTGAGGAAGGCTGTACAACGGTGCCGTAGTTTCATTCTCTCTACAGTCTCTTTTAAGTTGGGCCTTTCTGTGTGGAGTTTGTATGATCCCCATCTTTCTTTGTGTACTCCAGTTTTCTCCAGCAGACCAAAACATGCATGTTGGGTCCAATAGCCTATATTCCACGGTCATTAATGACGTATTTCCAGTAAAATTTTTGCCACGCTCCTCCCTTCCACTCCCTGCTTACTGCCTATGTTTTTAGCATTAGCTGGTCCGTGAAAAAGTCATTAAGTTAAAGCATCTGTGAGCTACTGGTATAAAACGAGTTCTGTTGTGTGCCGCTGTGTCCACTAAGCAGCAGCTACGATCGAGTAGTTGGTTTTTATCCATTTTCCTCTTGATGAGGAGGTGACAGCAGTGGATCATGGCATTTCAGGCAAAACTTATATTTAAAGCTCACGCTTGTGTTTGCAATCAGCATTTCTAACCTGAGGATATTCAAGAGTCAGCATCAGAAATGAGAAGACGGAGGTTACAAAAGGGAAATGTATGTATATCTATCCCTTTACTGCCAAAATAAGAGAGGAAAGATCTCCTCCAGAGGACAGCTAGCAGGAAGCTAACACAGCAGCCCGGTTGGTACAAAGGTAGGTGTGTGTGCGTGCGCGCTTGTGTTATATGAAATGTTTTTATGCGACTTTGTCATGAGTTTTATGCAAAAGTAAAACCTTGTTAGAGTGTATATTACAGCGTAGACTAAAGCCGAGTGACGAGCGCCCCCCTCCCCCCGAGCACCGAGAGCAGCAGAACCTCCGCCTGATAATCATTACGTTTTCAGTTCACTAACGTCGGGGAAAACGATCCAAACCATACAAGTAGCCCATCGATTTAAAGCCCAGACTCTGCTATTTCCAACAATATAAGTGTCACAGCTCTACGTGAAAAATTCATGGAACAAGCAGCCACGGAATAGTGAAAAAGGCTAAATTCTGGAACCATAAACAGGAATGTCTTTCCTTTGTTTTATGGCTTTAATCCACTTTGGAGTGATTTTTTTTCCCCACTTGGCTGGACCTATACGTCTCCTGTGTTTATGTTGGTACATGTAATATTCTAATTCTGTACTGTGGAGATCATTAAAGGGTATCTTACCCACCCCGTGAAAAGATAACTCCGCCCTAAGGCGAAATTTGAAAAATGCATCAAAGTGGGTAGGGGAGGGGCTGTGGGTAGGGGAGGGAGGGGAGG